ACTCAGCTCAGGTTAACTTATCTTAGCTTAGCTTAGCTTAGCTTAGCTTAGCTTAGCCTAGCCTAGCCTAGCTTAACTTAGCTTAGCTTAGCTTAGCTTAGCTTAGCCTAGCCTAGCTTAGCTTAGCTTAGCTCAGCTTAGCTTGGCTTAGCGCAGCATTAGCATAGCATAGCATATCATAGCATATCATAGCATCGCATAGCATAACATAGCATAGCGCAGCATAGCATAGCGCAACATAGCATAGCATAGCATAGCATAGCATAGCATGCCATAGCTCAGCATAGCATAGCATAGCACAGCATCGCATAGCTTAGCTTAGCTTAGCTTTGCATAACATAACACAGCGCAGCATAACCTATCATATCATAACATAACATAACATAGCATAGCACAGCATAGCTTAGCAACACCAATGCGAACGTGTAGATGTAGATGTATATATAGATGTAGGTGTATATGTGGATGTAGGTATAGATGTATATGTAGATGCAGGTGTAGATGTAGGTGCAGATGTATATGTATATGTGAGTCTCGCTGTTGATGTTGATGTAGATGTAGATGCAGGTGTAGATGTTAATGTAGCTGTCGGTGTAGATGTAGATGTTGCTTTCCTAGATGCTCCAACTCCTAGGTCGGGTCGCACTGGGATAATTTAAGACACATGTTCGCGGCGTGAAGGCGAGAGCCACATTTTGAAAAGGTGCCGCCCTCTATCCGTGAAGCCCTTTCAAATTTTTAGAAGGCATGTGCGCGGCGGGGGGGCGAGAGGAGAGCCCCATTTCTAAAATGATCCGCCCTTGTTGCAGAAATTCAGCTTAAGGACCCTAGGTGGTGAAGAAGCTTCAAGCGAAACGCCCAGCCCGCCTTACCGACACGTTTCAGGGTGCGACAGGGAGGAGTTGGTTACCATGGATGGATGAGGAGAAGGAGGAGGAGGAGGACTATTTTCCATCTTTCTTCGTCACTGCGGTGATACTAGTTCGAGCTTAATTTTGTTTGTGCTTGCCGAGGTTTTTTTTTGGATAAATATGTGAAGACGTAAGACGTAACGGCGCTCGCTCGCTTACGTCGGGGCAGCTCAACGAGAATGTGGAGTATCGTGGGTTTTAGCGGGTGGCTGTCAGGCTTGCGGGGGATTCAGGGGACACTGGTGGAACTTAAGGGTCTTCAGAGGATCCGAGGAAGGGAGTAGTAGGATGAGGAGGAGAAGAAGTAGGATGAGGGTGATGATGATGTTGTTGATGATGTTGATGACGATGGTGATGATGACGAGGATCATACGGATGATGATGATGATGATGATGATGATGATGATGATGCTGCTGATGATGATGATGATGTTGAGTGATCATTTCTGAAGAATAACCCCGCCTCCGGTGACCATTGCTTCTTTTTCACTTACCTTGCGCCTTACCCGGCTTTTATAAGGGAAACTCTTGTGTCACCAAACTGGGCCCATGGCCCCCGAGTTACAACAAGCACGGCTCCCGCTTGGTATTTCCGCTTCATAATTTATTGCAAATCGCTCTCTCGCGCGGGATTTCTACATCATTTATGCAGAAATCGTGCTCGCGCGTGGTATTTCTTCACAATTTATTGCAGCGCTCTTTCTCCAAGACTCCGGAATCATGCTCTTAGCTATTGATTTCCGCACGGTTTACTTGGGAACCGCGATATCACTCGAAACTTCCTTGCAAGTCATGTTGACTTGACGCTTCAGCGACCCGCCCGCTCGACCTGGCGTGTGGGCCCGCCCGCCCGACCTGCCCGTTAGGATCCGCCCGCCAAGCCTCCTCCTGCAAATTTCTCTCGCTTTCCATCCTTCTCCCTCCCCCTTGCCTCTTCCCGCTTCCCTTCCCCGATTTTAGGGGCTGCGCCCAATACGCGTTTCATGTAAGAAAGATCTATCCCCAAGGAGGTCCGATCGAAAGCGAAGAAGGCGGGTATCGATGGTTTGGAATGCACGTGTTGAATGGCACGCGATTAGATCTGAGTGCACATGTTTGAAGTGCTTATTCTTGTTGTTGCTGTTGTTGCTGTTGCTGTTGTTGTTGTTGTTGTTGTTGTTGTTGTTGTTGTTGTAGGTGTTACTGTTGTTGTAGTTGTAGTTGTCGTTTTGTCGTAGTCGTAGTCGTCGTCGTCGTCGTTGTTGTTGATGTTGTTGGTGTTGAAGTCTCACTACTGAAGAATACTCATTGTTGATCCCCCCCTCCGGTAACATATGTGTTTTTTTCAATTGCAGTGCTTCTCCCGGGGCTCGCATTTTTGTGTATCAGGGAAAGTCTTTCTCCTCAAACTGCGCCCCTGGCCCCCGGTTGACAAGGACGACGGCTCCCGCCTGACACTTCCTCGCAATTTACTGAGGAATCGCGCTCTCGCTAGGGCCCCCTTTGCAATTTCTCAAAGAATCGCGCTCTCGCCTGTGACTTCCTCGCAGTTTCTTCAGGCGCCACGCTTTCGCCATTCAGGAAGCGCGCTCTCGCTTGCGACTGCCTCATCATTTACTTAGGGATCGCGCTCTCGCCCGAGAATTCCTGGCGAATTGTGCAGGACTCACGCATTCGCGTAACATATATTTCTCAATTGAAGTGCCCTTCTGGGGCTTGCTGTGTTTTTACCGGGGGAAGTCTTCCTGCTCCAACTGTGCCCCTGGCCCCCCGTTTACAACAACAACGGCTCCCGCTTGATATTCCCCACCATTGATTCCCAAATCGCGCTCCCGCGAGGGACATCCTCATAATTCAATGCAGAAGTCAAGCTTTCGCGTGGAACATCCTTACAGTTTATTCAAACACCACGCCCTCGACACTCAGCAATCACGCTCTTGCTGTTGATTTCTTCAACATTTCTTGGGGAATCGCGCTATCGCTCGTGACTTCCTCGCGACTCATGCAGGGCGCATGCTTTAGCAACCCGCCCGCCTTCCTGACCCGCCCGTTAGGGTCTACCCGCCCGATCTGCCCGTCTGATCCTGCCACGTGTTTTCTGCTACTAGCCCCCATCCTGCTATTTTCTCTCGTGCTCCATCTTCCCCCTTGTCCCCTTCTTCCATCCGTTCTTTGTTTCCCTGCCTTAGGGACTGCACGAAATACACGTTACAGTTAAGAAAGATACACCCCGAAGGGGGTACGATTAAAAACGAAGAAGGCGGGTATCGAGGGTTTGGGATATACGTGTTGAGTGGCACGCGATGAGGGAGGAGTGAGCAGTCTTAAGATGATTGTTGTTATTGTTGCTGCTGTTTCTGCTGTTGTTGGTGTTCTTTTTGTTGCTGTCGCTGTTGCTGTTGCTGTTGCTATTGCTGCTGCTGGTGCAGTTGTTGTTGATGATATTGTTGTTGTGGTTAAGGTTGAACTTTCATTCCCATATCATAATTATGGTTGATCCCCCTGCCCGGTAACTGTTATATTTGTTCAATTAACGTGCTTCTCCCAGGGCTCGCACCCTGTTTTTTACAAGGGACATGAAGGTGTCACCAAACTGGGCCCCTGGCCCCTGGTTTACAACAACAACGGCTCCCGCCTGATACTTCCGCACCACGTATTCCCGAATCGCGCTCTCGCGCGGGACCTCATCATAATTCATACAGGAATCGCGCTCTCGGTTGGACTTCGTCCTAATTTATTCAGACGCCGCGCCCTCGACACTCAGAAATCAAGCTTTCGCTATGGAATCCCGCGCGATGTATTTGGGTATCGTTCGGGCCTTCCTCGCGGTTCATGCAGGACGCACGCTTCAGCAGCCCGCCTGCTCGACCTGGCCGCCTGGGCCCGCCTTTCCGACCCGCCCGCTAGGGTCTGCTCGCCCGATTTGCCCGTCTGGTCCTGCTACGTGTTTTCTGCTCCTACCCCCCCTCCTACTATTTTCTCTCGTGCTCCATCTTCCTCCCTCCCCCTTGTCCCTTCCTTCCATCCGTCCTCTCTCCCCCTGCCTTAGGGACTGCGCGAAATAACGCTGCAGGTAAGAAAGATATACCCCTTAAGGGGGTACGATCGAAGACGAAGAGGGCGGGTATCGAGGGTTCGGGATAGACGTGTTGAATGGCACGCGAGTAGATACGAGCGAACAGTCTGAATATGATTGTTGCTGGAGATAACTTGCTGATGCTGATATGTTGATGTGGTGACGGTAATGACGATGACGGCGACGATGGTCATGATGATGATTAATCTTATGATCATATCAACCGTGGTTATTCTGATTATGATTCGGCTTGCTCTTGATTGTTTTTATTCGCATTCTTGGTATTCGTGTTTATTGTTATTAACATCAGTATTATCGTTTATGAATATTATGGTTGCTCGTTCGTACTCATGATTATTATTCTTTTCCTATTTCATCATTATCGGTATTAGCAGTTGCATTCGCAGTATATTGTCGTTTTTTCTTATTAGAATTGTTTATTCATATTATCACGATCATTATCGTTACTGTCAGTGTTATCCATATCTCTTCGTATGATTAGTAGTAGTATTTCATAATGAAGATTATTGTTATCATTATTAGTATCACTACTACTACTACTACTACGACTATTACTACTACTACTACTACCACTACTACTACTTTTATTATTACTACTACTACTACTACTACTACTCCTACTACTACTACTACTACTACTCCTACTACTACTACTACTACTACTACTACTACTACTACTACTACTACCCTTCGACTGATGGCGATGATTTCTGCTGCTGCTGATGATGATGATGGTAATGATGATGCTGATGCTGACGATGATGCTGATGATGATGCTGATGATGATCATGATGATGATGCTGATGCTGATGCTGCTGCTGCTGCTAATGATGATGATGATGATGATGATGATGATGATGATGATGATGATGATGATGATGATGATGAGTCGGAGGGACGTCGAGTCTCCGGGCTGGTAGCTCAGAGCGCGCAGAAGGGGCCCCACAATGAGCTTTCGCGGATCGGCGCCAGACACCATCACGCTGTGCCCGCCGCAGCGCAAGGGGTACACCATGGGCCCGGTCACCCCGTGCGATCAGACTGGATGGAGGGGGGCCCTCCTCCTCGCCCCATCTCCCTCTCCCTCTCCCTCCGCCTCCGCCTCCTCCTCCTGGGGGGAGGGGAGGGGGATCGGTCCCTCTCCATCTCTTCTCCTGCCCATCATCACTTTTTGGTCAGCAGCGCGGGCGGACGCCAACGCGTTTGGAAATCTGTCGCGCTGGACCACAGTCACACGAGGCTACCAAAGGAAAGAGGAGGACGGCCGAGGAAGAGGAACACGGGAGGAGGCCTCAGGCGTAGAGGATCTTCGCCACGAGGAATGCGCAGGTGGTCTCAGGCACTGGTGCTGCTAGAACCTCGCCAATCATCAAACGTATTGCTTCCTCTCCTTGTCTTTTTTTTTTTGTTCTCTCTCTTTCTCTCTCTCTATCGCGTATACGCGCCCATGGTTCTCGGCTCAGTGGCTCTTGCAGACAAATGTGCGTGCACGCGTCCACGCCTGTTGTCCACATCGCATGTGTAGACGTCACTGGTGAGAGCGAGAGGGGGGCAGCGACAGATGTACCCGTGTGTGGGCGAACATGCATAGAAAAAGAGAGAGAGAGAGGGAGAGAGAGAGAGACAGAGAGAAAGAGAGAGAGAAAGAGAGAGAGAGAGAGAGAAAGAGAGACAGGCAGAAAGACAAAGAGAGAGAGAGATAGATATAATGGGAGGTGTGTATATATATGTGACGAAGAAAGAGAGATCGATAGAGAGAGAGAGAGAGAGATTGAGAGCGCCCCAGTTCGGACCAGGTCTGGTCCAGGCCGCACAGCGTGTTACGGCTGCGCAGGCCTGCCTCGCAAGGCTGGAGGCGCCGCGAAAAGGGCACGGGCGGGGTGCTGCCCTCCCCCCCTGGCGCGGTCAGTGTGACCCCGACTGGGAATCATAGCGTGAATGTGGTGAACAGGCCACTCGAGGGCCCGCCTGCACACCCGAAAAACAAGCGCTGGCTGCTAGCGCGCTTTGGCGTGCGCGCCTCGGTGCCTCAGCGAACCGTGGCGCCGCCATGGGGCGTCCTCCGCAACGGCCCAGTGCGAGAGCTACGGGCAAGTTGCCCGCAGTTGTTCTCGCAGCGCACTCAGAGCATGGGGAGGCCAGCGCTGGTGTTCTAATGGTGCGCACCGAGGCGCGCCTGGTAGCTTGCCTAGGGGGAAGCCCCAAAGTGAGCAGACGAACGAAAGGCCCGACGAATGTCATTCCAGGCGGTCTGTGCTCTTCGGATTATGCCAAGGCGGGGTCCTGATTGTTGCTGGGTGCTACGCTGGATATGAACAATGCTAGCAGCACACTGATGCAGCATCGTGCTGCTGGTAGTGGGGGTAGCCCCGCGATCGAGATCGGCAGATTGACTGGTAGCCGTCAGGCTTTGGGTGGCACGACTCCGCTCGGTGGATTGTGTTGGAGTCGTTTGGATGCCTTCGTCCCGGTGGGTGGTGCTGAGGCCGTGAGGGCCCCCGCGCCGGAACAAGGGCACACAATGCTACTCGGAAGTTGAGGAGGGCGGCAGAGACGAGGAACGCGGGGCAGGCCTCAGGCGTAGAGGATCTTCGCCACGAGGAATGCGCAGGCGGCTTCAGGCACCAGTAGCTGGTGTATTGGAGTGTGTGCGGCGGGAACCTTGCCAATCATCAAACGTATTGCTTCCTCTCCTGATCTTTTTCGTTACTCTCTATCTCTCGTGCACGCACCTATCGTTCTCGGTCCAGTTGCTTTTGCAGACAAGTGTGTGTGTGTGCGTGTGTGCGTGTGTGTTTGTGTGTGTGTGTGTGTACGCGTCCACGCCCATTATTCGCATCGCATGTGTATGCGTCACGGGTGAGAGTGACGGGGGGGAAGCGACATTGAGTCTGTGTGTATAAGATACGTTTACACAAGACTTGAAGGTTCGCTTTGCTTCGTCTCAAATCTTGGTCCTGCGTCCAGGTAGTGCGGGGGACTGCGAAGGTGAGCAACTCGATGCTAGGGTAAGCTATTACCTCAGTCGGGATGGCGGATCTGACGTCGAAGGGGTATATATCACGACCGCGAGTTTGGTGAAGGTTTTGGCGAAGTGGGGCCTGCGCACTGGCCGCGACGCCGATGACCGGGAATACACCGATTAGATGACCGGTGGTGGGTGAAGGTCATGATGCGAACAGGGGCTCCAGTCATGACCTTCATGCGGGTTGAGGGCATGGCCGTGGTATAGGGCTGACATCACGACCAGGAAAGTGCTGTCGGCAATGCGGAAAAGGGATGGGGTCATGGAGGTGAGCATGACAGGGGCGAGGGAGGTAGCCGTGATATGGTTCTTGGTAGGGATAGCGAGGGATCCCAGGTATACACCGCTAGGAAGGCGAACTCAATCACCGCGATGGGGGGTCGAGGTCACGTCGGTTTAGCTGTACACAGGCTGTCGAAGAAACGGTCGGTCAGGCAAGCAGGGTGCGGTTTACGCATATGAGGAAAATTTGCACACCCTCCACCAATAGCTTTGAGAAAAACAACTCGTTGGAAAGGCGTGAGTTTTCCATCCCGAGGCCCTCGGGGGAAGGCTTTAGGGGATTTTTTTGCGCATCCACCGGACTCCTAGTCCATCGTGGGAGTCGCTGCGAGGCTTCTCGGACCTCTGCGGCGTCCAGTAGGCGAGCGGCTGGCGGGGGAGGCCCGGGAGGCCGTCGGAAAGGTGCCCTGGGGCGGAGGGGATCTCCGCGCCCCTGGGGCGACCTAGCTCTCTCTTGTTGTTCAACAAGTATGAGATAGAGGAGAAGGAGCAGGAGGAGGAGGAGGAGGAGGAGGAAAAGGAGGACCAGTGTAAACCCAAGACTCATCAACGATGTGTGGATACACCTTCCTTCCGAACTCCTTCCTTATAGGCCCCATACGAGGGTTCAATTCCATTGGGGGAAGTGCCCCGTTGGGAGACAAACGCGTGACAATCCTGAGGCGTGCCAAACCCCCCTACACTATTCTGCGTCTTGACGTTCCTGAAACGTGCCAGAACACTTTTCGTTGAATTCAACACCGCGAATCAACGTAACTGTCGCGCCCTGTTTTTGTGGACGGTCAACCATGCAGTGTTCAAAACGTATCAATATTGTGCGTGGCGCTAAGTCGATAGCCACATTTTGAGAACGACCTGCCCTTATACGTGAAACTCTTGCGAACTTTTAAAACCAATGTGCGCGGCGTTAAGGCGAGAACCACATGTTGAAAATTTCCCGCCCTCAATCCGTGGAGCTCTTGCGAGTCTTTAAACACGAAAATGCGTGGCGCTGGGGCGAACGCCACATCTTGAAAACGACTTGCCCATAATACGTGAAACTCTTGCAAGCTTTTAAAACGAATGGGCGCGGTGCTGAAGCGAAAACCATCATTTGAAAGCGGCCCGCCCTCAATCCGTAAAGTGGTTGCGAAAGTTTGAGACGAGCGTGCGCGGCGCTGAAACGAAAACAGCATTTTGATAACGGCCCGCCTGGGGGCACCTGTAGGGTGGTCGTATAGATCGGAGGTTGGGGGGTGAGATCGGAGTGGGACGGAGACCCCCAACCAGGAAATCGTTTCGTTTCGATCGTGTCGTGCGTGCGGGCGAGGCGAAGCTGCGTGGGTGCGCGAGAGGAATGAACCCGCCGTTGCTAGGGCGAAGTCAAGACAAATGATGCTCCCCCTCCCGCCAGTCCGGCGGTGGCCCTTGCGGTGTCCCGCGGTGTCCCGTGGTGTCCTGTGGTGTCCCGTGGTGCCCCGTGGTGTCCGCCGCTGCTGGGGCGAAGTCAAGACACATGACTCTCCCCCGCCCGTTCGTCCGTCCGTCCGTCCGGCGGTGGCTCGCGGTGTCCCGCGGTGTCCCGTGGTGTCCCGTGGTGTCCCGTTGAGTGAGATCGATAGTGAGATCGATGGTGAGATCGATAGTGGGATCGGTAGGGAGATCGATCGTGATATGGATACTGAGATCGATGTGGTGCCCCGAGGTGTCCCGTGGTGTCCCGTGATGTGAGATCGATAGTGAGATCGATCGTGAGATCGACATGTGTCCCGTGATGTCCCGTGGTGTCCCGTGGTGTCTCGTTGGGTGAGATCGATAGTGAGATCGATAGTGAGATCGATACTGAAATCGATGTGGTGCCCCGAGATCTCCCGTGGTGTCCCGTGGTGTCCCAAATAGTGAGATCGATAGTGAGATCGATCGTGAGATCGACAGGTATCCCGTGGTGTCCCGTTGAGTGAGATCGATCGTGGGATCGATCGTGAGATCGGTAGTGGGACCGATAGTGAGATCGAGAGGTGCCCCGCGGTGTCCCGTGGTGTCCCGTGGTGTCCCGTGGTGGCCCGTGGTGTCCCGTGGTGTCCCGTTGAGTGAGATCGATAGCGAGATCGACAAGTGTCCCGTGGTGTCCCGTGGTGTCCCGTGGTGTCTTGCTGAATGCTGCCTTTTCTGGCATCGCCCTTATAATCATGTTGTTCGTTATCCACCCGCCATGCTTATTGTTCGTCATTCTCGCCATACCCTGGGCATGCTCCCCGTCCTCCTCAGCTCTTTTTGCGGAGGCTTCTCCTTGGAGAACCTCTGGGGGCCTCACCAAAGTTCTCAGGCTTTCTTAAAGCCTTCTGGAGGCCTCCTGGGCGTGTTCTGGGAGCCTCTGGGGCTTCCTCAGGCCAACCTGCCTCTAACCGCGGTCTCCCTGAACGCCCCAGTCACGATTTGGAATGCTTCGGAGGGTGTCTTGGGGCCATCTTGGGCCGCCATGGGGCTCTCTCAGGGCCATCTTGGACCCCTGTTGTGCCGTTTTGCGGCTCTCAGACTGCCTGGAAGCCCTTTCGGATGGTTGTGGGGCGATTTTGGAGCCTCCCAGGCGGCTTCGGACGCCCAGAAGACCGCCGTCTTGGAGCGTCGGGAAGCCGAAAAGAGGAGAACCCCAAATTCACCAAAAACCTATGTAAAATCAATTGTTTTTCCCTCTTGGGGGTGCTCTTGGAGGCCTCTTGGAACGTTTTGGGGCGATCTTTGGGGGTATGACGGCTTCTTGGAGCGCTCTTGTGTTGTCTCGGGGGTCTCTGGGACGTCTCCGAGGACCCCCCTGATCGCCCCAGGTGTGCTGCGAAGGCTTGGCAAAACGCCCTGTGAGGCCCGGGGGGCCGCTTCGAGGGCCGCTCGGAAGGTCCCAAAGCCCCAGATCTCGGGAGTCCGGTTTCGGGGGGTGGGTGGGTGACGGGTTTTCCCCCCCGCCCGGGCTTATACAAATATAGGAAGAGGGATCTCTCTATGTATATATATATATATATATATGTATATATATATGTGTATGTGTATGTATGTATAACTGTATGTATATATATATATGTATGTATGTATGTCTGTCTGTCTGTCTGTATGTATGTATGTATGTATGTATATGTATATGTATATGTATGTATGTATGTGTGTATGTATGCATGTATGTATGTATGTATGCATGTATGTATGTATGTATGTATGTATGTATGTATGTATATATGTATGTATGTATGCATGCATGTATGTATGTATGTATGTACGTGTGTATGTCTGTATGTATGTATGTATGTATGTATGTTTGTATGTATGCATGTATATATGTATGTATGTTCGCATGCATGCATGCATGTACGTATGCATGTATGTATGTATGCATGCATGTATGTATGTATGTATGTATGTATGTGTGTGTATGCATGTATGTATGAATGTATGCATGCATGCATGCATGCATGCATGTATGGATGTATGTATGTATGTATGTATGTATGTATGTATGTATGTATATGTATATAATATATACATATAGAATATGTATGTATATAGAGAGATATCTAGAACGAGAGAGAGGCAGAGAGAGGGAGAGAGAGAGAGAGAGAGAGGGAGAGAGAAATAGAGAGAGAGAGATAAAGAAAAGGAGCACCATAGAAACATAGAGGAACCTATATACATATATATAGATATATATATGTATATATATATAGAGAGAGAGAGAGAGAGAGAGAGAGAGAGAGAGAGAGAGAGAGAGAGAGGGGGGGAGAGAGAGAGAGAGAGAGAGATAAGTGTGTATATATAGAGAGATACAGAGGGAAAGGGGAAGAGTGAGAGAGATATAAAGAGAGAGAGGGAAGGACATATATACATAAAGATAGAGAGAAAACGAGAAAGAGAGAGAGAGAGAGAGAAGCGCCAAGAGCGATTGCACACACGCGCGCGTACATATATCCGAGGTTGGGCGGTGCGATCGAAGTGGAGCGGAGAGCCCCCCACCCAGAAATCGGTTTCGCTTTCGGTTTCGGATTCGTGTCGC